GCAGTCCAGAAAATAGCTATCAATCAATCAATCATTGTCATTGTGTTATGAAACTATTATAATGAGTAAACTCCACTTTCGGAAATTTCAAATTTTAGAATGACTGTGGGGAATTTGACTCTGACCTACTCACTAGATGTTCGTTGATTTTATATGACATACTTCCATTGACTAAAATCAACATCCAATTCATATAAGAGGAAAGTAACTCAGCCCAAAGCATAGAGTTATAAAGTTATTATATACATCTATGGTCTGAAGTGAGTAATAAAGAAAGATAACCCTGCTTGAGTTAACAACTTCAGACCATAATAATACAATCATGAGCTTTGCATGACAGTTCGATAGGCCAGATATCAACCTTGAGTTATTCAACATATAATGCCAACTTAATCAACTTCATATTTGATGTTAATATATATCTATTTGTCTTTTTTCAGTTATTTCGTCATGGTGATCGTAGTCCAATAGATATTTACCCGAAAGATAAATTTAAAACTGATCAATGGCCAATGGGATTGGGAGAACTTACGAAGGTTAGTGTTATATAAATTTTAAGTATGATCTATGAATAGTTTTCTTATGTTTTTATACTGGATGATTAACTGAATTAAAAGAGTTCAAGCCAGATATGACTGATATATTGAGGACTATATATAGTACTAAAGCCCAACGCAGACGAGAAACATTTCTGTCGATGAACAAAAACATCGAACAAATATATTTGTTTCCGTTATCCGCAGACGACAAACATAATTCCGCTGACGACGAAAATTTAGCTTGAACAATACGCCAGTGCCACAGGAAAATAACACGACCTCAAAATGGCGACATCCAGAAGAAAATGTAAAATTGCGTCAGATATTTTATTAATTTTAATAAGACGCCAACCTAGACGGCGAAATAGGAGCATTTGGGTCTGTACCTGGATTCAACGTCGTAAAGAGCAGGGTGTGTTCGGCAACACAACCCAGAAATGTATCAGCGATATTTCCGTTGACAAAGTCAAAAAGCATAAACAAACAGTCAGATTGCGCCACATATCTACTAAAATCTGCTCCTTCTCCACAGTCCAAAATTTTGTGTTGGTGGATTCACTGGACGTCGCCATTTTGAGTGTCATGTGGTCTGACTTATATCGCTGATTGGTCTTTCGTCAATGAATGTTGATGTTCATTCTTGACGCAGAGGGCGAACAAAGAATTGTTCGGGAGGCGAAGTGTGATAACCAATATATTTCTTGTCTTTCAGTTGGGTAGAAGAGAAGCTTATCATCTGGGAGAGTTTTTTCAACAAAGATACAAAGAGAGACTGAAAGTAGAAAAAGATTTTAAACCAAATTCTCCGGAGGTATTTCAGTTTTTAAATCACTTCTAACAAGGTTTTTTTCATCCATCCGTCTACAATTGTGGACACAATAGAGCTGGTTTCTTGATGGATTTTGACAAATTGAGTAATTGTAAACACCTAAGCATGAACTGTTTTGAAAATCAGACAAATCGAAAAATATTTATTGAGTTGTTGTCCTATGAAAATTCATTCATGAAAAGCAATTGAGAGCTGAATTCTTGAGGATTTTAATGAAATTTGGTATGAATATTTGTTATCACTTAGGGATGAACCCTGTTGAAAAATTGAAAAATATTCATTGCCCTTGCACTTTTTATTATACGCCCACATCTCTCTATGTGGACGTATATTGTAGGCACCCCTGTCCGTCCGTTGGTCAGTCCGTCCGTCGGTCGATCCGTCGGTCGATCCGTCCGTCCGTCCGTCAACATTTGCTTGTAAAAACTAGATTTTTTGATGAAATCAAATGAAATTCGGTATGTGTAAACATATTCATCAAGATCAAGTTCGAATTTGAGCAATTTTCGACCGTTAGAAGCAGAGTTATTGCCCTTGCCCCAAAATCTTGAATATGCTATTACTCTCTTAGTTTTCAACCGATTTTGATGAAACTGAAAATGGATGTTTCATTTTTACCATCTGCATGCCGTGGTGGGCCTATATGGCTGTGGTCCACTATCTTTTGAAAATGTGTTGTGGGCACGATAGAGAGTTATTGCCCTTGATGAAGTAAAAACACATCAAATTTGACTTACAGGCATGATAAACACTACACTTTTTACCTGATAAAACTTTGAATGCATGTATGATGAGACCTTATTCATGTTTGAATTTGATGAACTGTTCTTGAGAGTTTGCCATAACTAAAGACTTTGCTATCATTCTAACAGCTGGTAGTTTGCGTATGTTACCATGCCTGGCAAGCTATCTATAATGTATACTATTTACTGACAGACTAACAAGAATGTTTGGTCCTATTTCACACCAAAGTCAAAGTTTCAGTGAAAATAACCTTGGTTGCACAAATATAAGTGGTAGTCACAAGATTGTAAATTAAGTTGATATACAGTACCTGATTTTTTTCAGAGGTAGGGCATGCTAATCAGCACTGTAGTTGTAATAATGGTTGCTTAAAGTGGTGAGTACGGTAGTAAGTGTTTATTACATTCCTTACAAATTTTTTTTTTTCCAGTTTTTTATCAGAAGCACAGAAAAATCCAGGTCTAAGCTATCAGCGGTGTATTTTATGGCAGGGTTTTATGGTGAAGACTTTTCAAATGTTATGAAGAAAGAAAAAGAAGTTCAGACAAAATATAATGTTCCATTTGTTCCACAAAAACAAGATCAAGTAATCTTAACAGTTATTAATTAAATTTAAAGAAACATGCCTATTTGAACAAATTATAACCAATTGATGTTCATATGACAAGGATTGACATTGATAAACTAAAATTAGTATAGGTCATTGTGAAACAGTACTTAGTAATAATATCCTTTTCTTAAGGTACACAATCCCCCTTTAAAACATTTTCATGTTTTTTTTTTGTTAACCACTCAATCTGTGTCACAAGTGAAGAAATTGTAGTTATGATATTTTGTTGGTCTCTTCTGAGCTTATTTCTTTTCAAAGAGTAAGAACATTATTCACATGACATAGCTAAAGATACGCTGATTTGTCATTGAGTTTATATCCTAAAATCATTGATTTTTAATGTCAAAGTCCAATTCCAATGAGCTGTTTTGTTCTGTATGTCTTAATAATAATAATTCCAGTTATTGTCTAAAGCTACGTGTCCAAAAGCAGATAAGTTATTACAAGACTGGAAAAGTACGTCGAGAGAATATAAAAAGTTTATGAAACATAATGCAGTAAGTATCACTTACCCTTACTCTTTATACCTCTGCTCCACTGAGGCAAAATGTGCTATTTGTCCATAAGTTATCTATAGATCCCAGTCAGCAGTATGCTAGTGACATATTAATTATAAATTATTATTACAAATTTCAGGATTTATTTAAGTTGATGGTGTACACAGGTTGGTCTGATCATGAGCAGATGAACCTAGTTATAGATGATATTTATATTGAGGTAGATTATTTTATGTAATTAGTTATTTGATAGTTTATATCTCAATAGACACCATGTCTTGTTATAAAGAGAAGATAGACAATTATATATCCATGAAACTACTATAATATTCTATTATTTCTAAAAAAGTTTGTCTTGCAGCAGAAAATTAAATAAGAAGAAATAACTAAGTGACTTGACAACTAGCGTTATTTTTATACGCCCACACATAAGTATGGGCGTATATTGTGGTTGCCCCTGTCGGTCTGTCGGTCCGTCGGTCCGTCCGTTCACATTTACCTCGTGCTCGCTTTACAGGCTACAATTCTCTATAGATTCTTTTGATCTTTTGTATGTGTGTCAATATCATTATGAAGATGTGCACTATTGAATTTGGTGATGATCCAATGATTTTCTTCAGAGATATCGCATAAAACTCTGATTTCGCTTTCATTTTTCTTCACTTTTTTGCCTTGTGCTCACTCCACAGGCTACGATTCTCCATACATTCTTTTGATCTGTTGTATGTGTGTCAATATCATTCTGAAGATGTGCACTATTGAATTTGGTGATGATCCGACGATTTCCTTGAGAGATATCGCATAAAACTCTGATACTGCATTCGTTTTTTTTTTCACTTTTTTGGCTCGTGCTCACTCTACAGACTAGAATTCTATATTGATTCTTTTGATCTTTTGTATGTGTGTTAATATCATTATGAAAATGTGCAATATTGAATTTGGTGAGGATTCGATGAATTTCTATAGAGATATCGCATAAAACTCTGATATCGCGTGCCCAACCTAAAGACTACAATTCTCCAAAGATTCTTTTGATTGTTTGTATTTGTGTCAATATCATTATGAAAATGTGCACTATTGAATTTGGTGAGGATTCGATGATTTTCTTTAGAGATATTGCATTAAATTCTGATATGGCTTTTTTTCACTTTTTTGGCTCATGCTCACTCCACAGGCTACGATATAGAGTTTGTTTTACAGTTCACATTTAGCTCTTTATCAAGCTGCTGGTGGGCGTATTCGCTTGCGAGACTTGCTGCAAGCCTATGTTTAATCTTGCGTGTTATTTTTAAGCTTTTGTGTTATTTTTAAGCTTTTGTGTTATTATTAAGCTTTTGTGTTATTTTTAAGCTTTTGTGTTATTTTTAAGCTTTTGGGTTATTTTTAAGCTTGTGTGCGCACTCTTGCTTGTGAATTATGAATGTCAAGTCATTTAAAATGATTATTTTTCAGAGGCGCCATAATTTCAGCAAGCCTGATTGGGTGGAGAATAATATTGGTCCTTTAACTGAGTATTTTGATGATTCTAAAAAGTTTTTATCCCCTACTCCACAACTCCTTAAGATAAATACAGGTATGTAACACCTATTATATTTCTTATGTATATTTACAAATTTTGTTGTTAGGATATTTAAACTGTTGATGTAGAAGTTATATTTTATGGGTTTTCTTTTTGCAGGTCCTTTGATGTCTAAATTAATAAAAGAAATTGAAGATAAAATACATAAAGAGTCTCAAAAGAAAATGATAGCATTTTCTGCAGTAAGTGTTTCATGAACTAATTCCAAATATAACTGATAATCAACTGCTCCTGAACAATAAGAATTGCAACGCAATATGTAAAGTTATTATATATGATTCTTTCTGCATGAAAGTAAATGATTTATTTTTCAATAATAGATCAAGTGATGTATAATTTAGTCCACGAAAGCCAATTCTCCAAATTATATTCAGGCCAATGAAAGTAAAGGATGTACATAAATACATTTTTTGTTCTGTTTCAGCATGACTCAACCATCATTAATTTTCTTCTGGGTTTACAAAGTTTTAATAACCGTCAACCTCCATATAGTTCAGCTGTTATAATCGAATTATATCAGAATCAAAAGATGTTTTATGTAAATATATTATACCATAATGACAGCAAAACAGAGCCATATCACTTCACAATACCAGGTCAGTTTTATATTCTACAATACCAGGTCAGTTTTATATTATACAACACCAGGTCAGTTATATATAATACAATACCAGGTCAGTTTTATATTATACAGTACCAGGTCAGTTTTACATTATACAATACCAGGTTAGTTATATATAATACAATACCAGGTCAGTTTTATATTATACAACACCAGGTCAGTTATATATAATACAATACCAGGTCAGTTTTATATTATACAACACCAGGTCAGTTATATATAATACAATACCAGGTCAGTTTTATATTATACAGTACCAGGTCAGTTATATATAATACAATACCAGGTCAGTTTTATATTATACAACACCAGGTCAGTTATATATAATACAATACCAGGTCAGTTTTATATTATACAACACCAGGTCAGTTATATATAATACAATACCAGGTCAGTTTTATATTATACGACACCAGGTCAGTTATATATAATACAATACCAGGTCAGTTTTATATTATACAACACCAGGTCAGTTATATATAATACAATACCAGGTCAGTTTTATAGTCTACAATACCAGGTCAGTTTTATATTATACAATACCAGGTCAGTTTTATATAATACAATACCAGGTCAGTTTTATATTATACAACACCAGGTCAGTTATATATAATACAATACCAGGTCAGTTTTATATTATACAACACCAGGTCAGTTATATATAATACAATACCAGGTCAGTTTTATATTATACAACACCAGGTCAGTTATATATTATACAACACCAGGTCAGTTATATATAATACAATACCAGGTCAGTTTTATATTATACAACACCAGGTCAGTTATATATAATACAATACCAGGTCAGTTTTATATTATACAGTACCAGGTCAGTTATATATAATACAATACCAGGTCAGTTTTATATTATACAACACCAGGTCAGTTATATATAATACAATACCAGGTCAGTTTTATAGTCTACAATACCAGGTCAGTTTTATATTATACAATACCAGGTCAGTTTTATATTATACAACACCAGGTCAGTTATATATAATACAATACCAGGTCAGTTTTATATTATACAGTACCAGGTCAGTTTTACATTATACAATACCAGGTTAGTTTTATATTATACAATACCAGGCCAGTTCTATATTATACAATACTAGGTTAGTTTTATATTATACAATACCAGGTCAGTTTTAAATTATACAATACCGGGTCAGTTTTATATTCTACAATACCAGGTTAGTTTTATATTACATAATACCGGGTCAGTTTTATATCGTACAACACCAGGTCAGATATATATATTACAATACCAGGTCAGTTTTATATTGTACAATACCAGGTCAGTTTTATATTATACAATACCAGGTCAGTTTTATATTATACAATACCAGGTCAGTTTTATATTATACAATACCAGGTCAGTATTATATTATACAATACCAGGTCAGTTTTATATTATACAATACCAGGTCAGTTTTATATTATACAATACCAGGTCAGTTTTATATTATACAATACCAGGCCAGTTTTATATTATACAATACCAGGTTAGTTTTATATTATACAACACCAGGTCAGTTTTATATTATACAATACCAGGTTAGTTTTATATTATACAATACCAGGTTAGTTTTATATTATACAACAACAGGTCAGTTTTATATTATACAATACCAGGTTAGTTTTATATTATACAACACCAAGTCAGTTTTATATTATACAATACCAGGTCAGGTTTATATTATACAATACCAGGTTAGTTTTATATTATACTACACCAGGTCAGTTTTATATAATACAATACCAAGTCAGTTTTATATTATACTAATATTTATGATATTTTACAGGTTGTAAGCACAATGAAACATGTGCTTGGGAGGTTTTAAAAGAACATGCACAGAAAATAGCAATATCAACTCAAGAAAGAGAATTATTTTGTGGTAGTGCAGTCAAGTCAGGGTCCTTAATACTATCAGATAGTAAGTTATTGAATGTGCTTTCTTCCTGAACATCTGGTAGATTACATACAAGACAGAGGTTCATTTAGTATATTCTATATATGTAGCATTGTGTACATATTAAAGTACCAAACATAGTTCAATTTAGGTCACAAACCAGAGGATAATGTTATCAACTTAACAATGTGTTACCAAGTGAGAGTTGACACATCCTGCTGTATTCCATATAGCTAATATGCTTATCTAATTATTTTCAGATATTATCCCTGTAGCAGTAGTAATAGTAATTGTTGTTTGTGCTGTATTATCTATAATAATGTACCGTCTTTACCGACGTTGCCGTAGACCTGTTGGTGACCCTATGATGTACCGTCCTTTGGCTTTAGGTGATGTTGATGATGAATTTGATACATGAATGGGGAAATGAATTTAGGGATTGTATATTACAGTGTATTAAGAAAGGAAGATCTAGAAATTTGTCTTGTCTGAAATTTATTGACAATTTTAAAACCAAGATTTAATACGCATTAAAAATGGATATTCCAGATATCATTATCTTTGCTCAGAATAATAATTAAACTTTATGTTCACCTTTAATTAAATGAATAGTCCTATAGGGATATCTTCCTCTAATTTTTTACTTTAGGACTACTTGCTATCATTATTATCACTGCTTCTAATCCTACGTTATGTTTGCCTTCAATAAGTATTTCATGATATAATAATCATAATACATCTGTTTGATATGATGATAACAGATAGAGCAGTATTTTGAGAAGTCATAATACTGATGCTGTTTAGTTAACTGATGTCAATTGTGAAAAAATATAATGCAACTGTGTGCAATTTTGGTTTATTATAATACTAGATTTAGTGTTTTATAAGATCTAACTTGTCAGAGAAATATATTTTCAATGACCTGAATTAGAGACTAGTAGACAATTGCTAATAATTGAAACATTCCATATATATATATATATATATATCTGGCTTTTTTGATTTTGCATATCAACTAAAGGCATGTGCTATACAGGGAAAGTGTTTGCTTTTTCTTTTGCTTTATTGGTAGCCTACACCATTAGGTAAATTTGAGTCAAATTATTTGACCTTCTCAATATTTCTAAATAGTTGTTTTTAGTGGATTTTAAGACGATTTCATGTTTTTTTCAGTCTAACAGGGATTGCACCATTCAAATTTTTAGTTATGTATGTGGTTCTTGCAATTTCAATAAAACTAAGTGTTTGAACCTTTAATATAAGTAGGACTACTGGTATATGATGTCAATCATCACATAATAAATATTTCATACTGTTATTTCAGTATTTGTGATTTCATTCCAAGGATGTTGAAGATAATTCCAGTATAACTGTGTATAAATCTATGATTGTTGTTTTTAATGTCAGATATTTATTTAATTATATTATAAATTGTATATTCTTACATATATTGTGAATATTAAATCATTTTGTATAATAATGGTGGTTCTCCATTCTTTTAAGTCAATTTTTTGCACCATCTTCTGTTGATTTACAACTGTATCTTTTATTCAATTAGTTAGTATTGGCCTTTCTGGTCTAGACAAAATAATATGCTACTTAGTATGGTTCTGATAGTTACAGGTTTTTGATTTTTACCACCGTATATAGTCTCTTTGTTGTTTAATTAGCACAGAGCAAAAATATTCCTAGGAAAATATTGTTTAATTTATTATAATGAAATACAAAAAACAGATAACAAATATACATGAAAGAAGAAAAAAATGCTTTAAATATTAACAACAAACAATTGGAAGGATAATATGTCATGTAATTCTATAATTACACATACCCACGACAGGGATATACAAGTAGTCATGAATTTAATTCTAAATATTTCATTGAGTTCAATATTAACTACAACTTTACAACTATTATTGTCCTTACAAAATTTTCCAAATAAGCAACAACTAAAAAAAAGTCTGAAAAAAGGAGATTCATAAAGACTTATCAAACTATAAAATTATTCAATCCTTCATTATATTCAGGCACATTTGATGAAGCATTACCTGTTCATCAAAAATTTCTATCAGTGAAAGTTCTATTGTGACATTGTTCTAATATTTCCAATACATACTCACATGATGAAGAACAAAATGAAGAGATTATAATGGAATTATATTTTCTGCAGTATCATCATTTATTACAATACATGTATTTATAAGAATATGGTAATCTTACTCAGTGAAATTATGACACACTCAAATATAATTCATTTCACATCTTAAAGCTTTATCAGAAGTAGTTAAACCCCTCCAAACAGCATTCTCTGTAACCAACATTTGAAAAGTCCTGATCGAATCACTATATAATCTGTATTAGGAAACCCCCTATAAACCACAATCCAGCATCAAAATAAGGTCCCAAAGTGGCTTATTTATAGGCAAGTAACCTACAGAAACTCTAAATTACTTATTTATCACTAATCCGTTAATGACATTATCAAAACTAACAATTACTGACTAATCCAATTAAATTGTTTTAACACTTTTGTGATCATGTTCATGGATTTAACTCTGTTAGAGTAGCCTATTGCACAATAAACTGATAACCTCTCTAAACTGGCATTTTTCATAGCGCAGATGGAGGGGTTTCACTGTACTCACAGTTGTCAAATTCAACACTTTTCATGAATGCTGTATTTTTAAAACTGTACTCCAAAGTCTGACAGATTTTAATAAAGATGACAAATTCAAGTCAAATCACATGTAAGAAACCCTATTTCACCAGTTATTAAAGTCAACTATCTTCCTATTCACACACTTTGATCACCTTACTACTTATACATCTTCATCATCATCACCATAAGCCAAAGGACGGTACATCATAGGGTCACCAACAGGTCTACGGCGACGTCGGTAAAGACGGTACATTATTATAGATAATACAGCACAAACACCAATTACTATTACTACTGACACAGGAATAATATCTAAAATAAGAAATAATTTAACATTTACTACAAAAAATTACATTATCTGGACCTACTTTACTTTTCAAAAATATAATAATATTTGATTTGATATAAACTTCTTTTTGTAAAATCAAATGTATAATTTGTATAATTCAAACTGCTACTAAAATATCGCTAGGAGGTTAATATTAAAGCATCTGGCTTTTTCAAAGAGTTCAAAGGCAATAGTCAAACATAATTTAAAGAACTTACTATCTGTAATATTCAATGAATGTGATCTAAATACACCACCACAAAATGCTTCTCTCTCATTGGTTGAAAATGTAACTTTCATTGCTTCTTGTCTTAATATTCCTGAACGACATTGGGCAGTCTGTTCGCAACCTGTAACATAAAAATCATTCCTTTTGAAACTTAATTGATTTTGTATAATATAAAACTGACCTGGCATTGTATAATATAAAACTGACTTGGTATTGTATAATATAAAACTAACCTGGTATTGTATAATGTAAAACTGACCTGGTACTGTATAATATAAAACTGACCTGGTATTGTATAATATAAAACTGACCCGGTATTGTATAATATAAAACTAACCTGGTATTGTATAATGTAAAACTGACCTGGTACTGTATAATATAAAACTGACCTGGTATTGTATAATATAAAACTGACCCGGTATTGTATAATATAAAACTAACCTGGTATTGTATAATGTAAAACTGACCTGGTACTGTATAATATAAAACTGACCTGGTATTGTATAATATAAAACTGGCCCGGTATTGTATAATATAAAACTAACCTGGTATTGTAGAATATAAAACTGACCCGGTATTGTATAATATAAAACTAACCTGGTATTGTAGAATATAAAACTGACCCGGTATTGTATAATATAAAACTAACCTGGTATTGTAGAATATAAAACTGACCTGGTATTGTAAAATATAAAACTGACCTGGTATTGTAGAATATAAAACTGACCTGGTATTGTATAATATAAAACTGATCTGGTATTGTATAATATAATACTGACCTGGTATTGTATAATATAAAACTAACCTGGTATTGTATAATATAAAACTGACCTGGTATTGTATAATATAAAACTGACCTGGTACTGTATAATATAAAACTAACCTGGTATTGTAATATATAAAACTGATCTGGTATTGTATAATATAATACTGACCTGGTGTTGTAGAATATAAAACTAACCTGGTATTGTATAATATAAAACTGACCTGGTATTGTAGAATATAAAACTGACCTGGTATTGTAAAGTGATATGGCTCTGTTTTGCTGTCATTATGGTATAATATATTTACATAAAACATCTTTTGATTCTGATATAATTCGATTATAACAGCTGAACTATATGGAGGTTGACGGTTATTAAAACTTTGTAAACCCAGAAGAAAATTAATGATGGTTGAGTCATGCTGAAAGAAAGTAACAGGATAAATAAGATGTGATAACGGAACTTCTAGAAGAGAAAGAAGAATTAGCCACAACAAACTTTAAAACTCATATACAATAATACATAAAATATAGATAATTGTTAAGTGGCTTTTAAAAGATAATTTCATTTTGAACCATAACAGATCTTAGAATAAATATCTTTTAAAATAACACTATTTTGTAGTTTGTGGCATCACAGACATGACTAATTCAGAAACCTTTCATGCTCTTGTTGTAAAAGCTATGGTTAGAGTGACTTAAAAACTCAATCTTAGCCAGTGTCTGAGACGTTATGAGATAACATTTAGATAGCGGATCACTTTCAAATATGCCCGCTTCTGAATCTACTTGATTCATGAAAACTGGTTGAAATTAAGAAGACAACATTTAGCATAAATATATATGTTTTCAGGATCAAGGGGAATAGCAAATTTTGAATTTGTTATAAACTGCCAGAGTTCTCACTTGATCTTCATCATTTAATGATCATTTTCCTACAAACTAAGTTTTTTGAAAATCAATTGAAGAACTTAAAGAGCCATTGTATTTTCAATGTGCAGGGGTTAATATGACTGGGGTTAAATTGATCTTGATCTTTATTTTACGTGGATGTAACTCATACACAAGTTTATCAAAATTAGATAAAAACTGTAGATTCTTTACAAGGAAATTTGAGAGGACAGATGGAACCAATGATCAACAGATTCACGTTCCAAAATAATTATAATGAAATGTGGGCATAAAAAATACAGATCATAGGTTCCAATTGGCATAGAGTGTAAGAGAAGGAACATCACTTACAGCAGAAAAAATCACCATTTTACTTTTTGATTCTCTGTGTATTTTATCATCTATTGTCTTCATTAACTTAGACATCAAAGGGCCTGTAATATACCAAATGAATTAGCACTAGGGACCTCAGTTTATAGTTCCATCTGAACAACATTAAATTTTGTCTATGTCAGCTCCTACAGCCAACATCACTCACATGGAGAAATAGGATCTAAAAAACTTTGACCAATACTGAGTGAACCCTGGATCCTCAGTGTACTACAGCAAGAGGTCAACGGGAGGTCAATATAGCCAAACTTTACCTGTATTTAATTGCAATAATTTAGGTGTTGGTGACTGGAATTTTTTACTTTCATCCCAGTATTTCATAAGAGCCTTAAAATTCTGCTGTACCCAATCAGGCTGAGTTCTATTATGGCTTGTCTAGAAGGTAACAAAAGTAATATTGATCAAATGAAATATTTTACTCAAATCCTGATTCCAAACCCATTACTCTTCACTTTGTTATGACAGACAAAGGGATGGTACCATGTGATAGTGTAACATGGTTAAGGTTGTAAGTCCAAAAGGAAAAGAGACAGTTATAAATACACAATAAAACCATGAATCAGGCTATACATCAAGCAATGCAATGTTATCTAAATATCATAAAGAAATCCTGCCATGTAAAGGAACATACACCCACAGCAGCAGTGGGAAAGAATAAGAAAGAAGAAGTAAAAATCCATAAAAATTTGGATGAAATCAATATAATCACATCTAATTGGTTGTGAGATCTTGTTTTTATCACAGAAACAAACACAAAATTGTCCTAGAACCTACATAAGCTTACCCAATTTCATTAATATCAGATGACAACTCGAGTGTCCTCATAAGCTGACTTAGTCGAATTTACATTTATTCAAGATTTCATCATTCTGCATTTGTACCTAATCACACAAAAATGAAGCTTCTATGGTGCTAAGAAGAAATGTTGACAGACATATAAATAAAAATATTGGTTTACATTAAAGTATAGGTTAAAATTTCATGCGAATAATATTTTTATAGTTTCCACGGAGACCTACCTCACAATAAATATCGTCTACAATAGCATTCATTTGGTCTGGATCAGACCAACCTGTATTTTTCATTAAATTAAATATATCCTGAAATGTAAAATACCGAGGTAAAGATTGTTTCAATACAAGCTGAAAGCTAATTTTGATCCTATTGGCCAATTTAATAGCTATACTTCACACACTTCACAATTGAATATAGATCATATAGATAGAAACTATAGAGCATATATTTTGTTCACAAGAAATGCTGATGAATCTATTGTTATGTAAGTTCAGATTTTTCATGTGGTTTGATGAGAAACACATATACTAAATATTATTTATATTAATTACCTGATGATGCTTAATAAAATCTTTATACTCTGTAGATTTATCTTCCCATTCTTCTTTAAGTTTATCAGCATTAGGGCATGATGTCATTGACAATAACTAAAAATATCATTTTGTTCAATGCAATCAAATCATTTTAATATAACATTTGGTTCATATTTATTTAAATGCATATTGAAATATGATCCCATAACATCATTATGCCATTAATAAACAACATGAAATGACACATTATTACAGAATTGGCTGATTCCATGCCTAATGAAATGAGGGAAATTTTGTCAGGACAGTAGCATAAAGCTACTTTTGTTTTTTTACTTCAACTTTTAGGGGGATTGTTATTGTGTACAGCCTAAAGAACACAGGGCCTTAGTATGTTGACCTCTGACTATACTGACACTGAGAAACTGGGTTGAAATAGTGCTAGCCATATTAAACCTGTGTTCCTGGGTAAGAAAACAAACACATCAATAACTACTACGTCATTACACACAGACAGACTACCTGATCTTGTTCTTCTGGTTCAAATCGTACATTGTATTTTGTCTGGAATTTTTCTTCTTCCTTCATAACAGATTGAAAATCTTCATTGTAAAACCCTGCTAAGAAATACACAGCTGACATCTTTGCCCTATTAATTGCTGTACTTCTTATATATAACTTGAAAAAAAAAACAAAAAAACTTACAAGTTCTTAGAATAAAAAGCAAGATAATCAATAATGCCTTACCACCTGCAGGATGAACAAACAGTTACATTACACTCTTTTTCTTACTGTAATGTAAATGCCATTTTATCATTACTCAAATGTTTTTCCTTTATGGCACTCTTGTTCCTTTCATGGCCCATTTTCTAGTTTCTGTCTAACTTTTCAAAATCTTTCATCTCATTTACTTGTTATTCTTTTACCTGTATTTTTTTAGTTTATTATCTCCCTTGAAAAAATATTTTCTTGTTCATCTAACTAAGCTGAATGTGTCAAATTCTCGTCTAATTTTTTTTTTTTATTAGCCCAGAAACGTAGCCACATTTACTGTAATTTTATAGATTTTTTTTTTTTTTAGTATTGTGTGATTTATATTTCCCATATTAATAATGAGCTTAATATAACACTTACATAGTATTTTTAAATGAATTATGCGATTTTCTTACATGCTAATACTTCTGAAGACTATTTATTTATACATACCCAACACTTAAATATGCAAAATACCAGTGTAGTTATAAACATCATAAATTGTGAATAAGGAATAACTTACCTCTGGAGAATTTGGTTTAAAGTTTGTATCTAAATTTAATTTCTGCATGTACCGCTTTCGGAAAAAAACTCCAAGATCGTATGCATTTCTTTTACCTATCTGAAGTATTGAAAATAAGTTTTAATAGAATTTTATACCTTCTGACATGCACTCTGATCAGTCTGATGGACTCAACAAGATATGCTAATGAATTGAAAATGCCATGTCGTGAGATATATATGTCCAGCACTGCCATATTTGATTTAACCTTATCTCAGCGGCCACTGCCTCATCTGGTATAAAGCTTTCAAAATCAAGCTAATAAGAATGCCTTACATACACCTGGGTGAGTCACTAACAAGAGTTTTCAAGCAGGACTATGACAACCTAGTATACTGTAATACAGACTGAAAGGTTCTGTCACAATCTGTGCAATGCCATTAAAACTTACATCTGTAAGTTCTCCCAATCCCATTGGCCATTGATCAGCTTTATATTTATCTTTCTGGTAAATTTCTATTGGACTACGATCACCATGACGAAATAACTGAAAAAAGAAGAAATGTAAATATCATCATGTTAAAGTGATACTATGTCTTAGAATGAACATAAGATTGATCTAAGTTCTCAAGAATGGTCAATATGAGTAGGCCTACCAGTATCTATTCATCAGTTAGCTTACCTGGTGTCATAAAGATAAAGCTACAGCAGAATCCCTGTAAAATCTGGAAAATTCATATAACTAAGTAATTATTAAAAAATGTTTAATCTTAATGATTTTCAATAGTTAATCGCATATTTATGAATATTTTACTTAGTATTTTGGATTTATCAGATTATATATATAGATCCTGTTATGTTATTTATGACACCAAGTATATCTATTGATGAATATATGCTCTTATTGGCCAAGTTTTAAATTCTTAAATTTAATGTTCATTCTACGACGTAGTATTCCTTTAAATTAAATCAGGGTTTACTGAATGTCTAAGATTAGAATTGAAATTATTTTGCCAAATTTTGGCCGTTATGGCGTTCCATCCTTGACAATAATTTTGTCCATTTCTTTACATGACACTCACTGTAAACACTAGTTTCAATTCATCATCGATAGTCTTTGTTGAAACAGACAAACACAGTAAAATTGCTGCAACTAAAACTACTCTCATGTTAATCATATTCTGGATTCCACTGACAACATGCTATCTGCTATCAAGTTCTCATTTTGTCATATAGTCAAGATTATCAAGAGCCTATATACAAACTTTTATAATGTAATGTAAAGGACTGGTAGATGAAGCCTTTACCTTTTCTCTACCTCCGGTTTTATTTTAACATTTATGGTCAACCAAACACTACCAAAGGGCATGAAAAAAAGAAAAAAAGGGAGACTAATACAAATAATCAAGAACGAATTAGTTGTAGTTTGAAGTAGTATGCTGAATGTCTTGTTAATCAAGACAACTGTAGGTCTATTTATTTTTAGATTATCACACAAACAGTTTATTGGAGCTACCGGAACACTATAGTCTATATGAGAATTTATAACCGGAATCTTGGAAGAAAGTGCTGACTGAAATCAGATGAAACTTTTTACGCCTCGACTTTGACAGTCAAGGGTGAGTGAAAGTTTTTATCTCCTCAAACAACCTTGGCACTTCAGTGAAAATTTCAGGCGTGAACAAAGTTCAAAGTTGATGTTTTCTTTTGAATTTCATGAAATGGGACACTTGATCATTCATTTGGGACCAATATATGCGAAACTAAATTCAGGTCGGTATGAACTAATTGTTTGAAATGGTAGTGGGTTAAAACAATATCTATTGAAAACACACGTTATTTCTGCATTGGTTTGGAAATACAATATTGTTTGTTACTACCACACACTCATAGATGCTTTTAATTAATTTTTTATAATAACTAGCCTATCATCAAGAGTTTAGCCTATAATTGTAGGTGTTATGGAGGTGTAAGCAGGTTGACAACCAATAATTGTATGGCAATGTTATTCAATTTACCTTTAAATACTTCATACTATGAAAATACAAAGATACATCTATTTAAAGAACAGATTTTCCATTTTCAGCGGTCAATTGGACATTGGTCTCAGAAATGATATAATGAGTGATAGTATTCATTGCTTAACATACAATACTTATGATATTTAATTCTCTCCCATTGAAAAATTCACTTACCTTAACATCTGAGAACTGAAAATTTAATTAATATCACATATAAACATTGATTTTCTGCATTTGTAATAAAATCATCAAAATAATTCCATGTAGATTATATGTCTAGGTAAAGGCCCCAAATATTTGAATGGTAAAATCTCAGATCTACCTTGTTTTCTAGTTTTAGAGTAGATCAAACTAAGCCTATCCTATGCCTATGGACTTTAATGACATCCAACCAACTCCCTACACTGAAGAAGTTCAACTTTCAGATACCCCAATTTTGGGAGCAAACAAACTAAATAAAATGTGAAATTTCGTGTTTGATGTCTTTTTGAAGGAATTATGTCATTATCGTACAGTTCGTCCCTTTATATGCGTGACCAGATTTTGTATTTTTATGTTATAGTATAATTAGTAGGCTAGTGTTCCTGCTTTGTCTAGGATAAGCTGATCTAAGTTGTTATCCTTGTAAAATAAAAATTCTTTCTTTCTCCAATTCCTTTTCAGCTGATAGAATTTCTGCCACCTTCAGAATAAAAATGCAATGTAGATGAATTGAAATGTATATTAAGATTAAGGGATCAAGTCACTTCACTTTACTATTTAATATTTATAATACCAGTTCATTAAGCAGAAGAGATTTTAGAATTACTATTAATGTGATATTAAGAAAATTGTAAGTTGTATAACAGATTATCTAGATGGGTCATTATAAATAATCTCAGTAAATATAAGCTAAAGATTGAGTTCAGATATCTATGTATTGTTGTGAAGATTGAGTGTATAAAAGTTATGATTTAGTTATGTTTATTGTCAAGATAATAAACATAAAGAAGGTAAAATGATTGATGACTGTAGAGTTGTAAGTGTGTGTGAGACAAATCTTATAAGAAAAAAACAAATATAAATAGCAATCCCTGAAAGTAAAAGTTTATAATCACAGTTGTAGAGTGATAAAAGGTGTTCCTGCATTCATGGAAATATTAATAATGTGTATCGGAGTAACAAATAATATGTAGCAATTTCAAAATTGGATATTATGTATGTAAGGGGCAAGTACCAAAGTTTAGGTATTTGCTTCAAAGTATAGTGTTGTAAAGTTAAGTTTTTCTGGTATAATGTTGCTTAATAGCATTATTATCCTATATAACCACAGGAAACAGTGGGGTAGATTTCACACCCAAGTGAATATGAGTGCAATGTTAAACCCTTTCAGTACTTTTTCCATAGGAAACAGTGGGATTGAAGTCAGACCCATGTGAAGCTAACAGTAATAATCCCAATTCTTGTGAGTTTAGCACTAGCATAGAGTATATTTCTATGGGAAACAGTAGGGTGGAAATTGGGTATAATATTGAATATAAAGCTGATAATGTCAGCAATATAAACTCAGACCATATGTTCTGTTATATAATCCTTTTTTTCTCCCATTCCTACTGGTATTAGTATGTACTTGTATATATATAATACCAACTACCAACCAAATAGGCTAGTCAGACTTTATCTTGAACAATATTCAACATTCAAGTTTCACTAAGGAAATAAATTTGGTATTTCTGAATTTTGTATTGAAGTTTTTTATATTGCATATTTAATAGTGGTATTACAATGGGATATAAAATTAGGTCTCAGTTTATCAGACATTAACCTGCATCACTGTCAGAAGGAAAATGCTTAGCAAATCTGAATGCATAAACCTTGACCTATGGTAGGCTATGATTAAATGATCAAATGATACAATATTTGTGACTTCCTATATAACTAGTAAAGAGCTTTTTCTGAAATCTGATCCACTTCTGGGTTTATTAATCTTTAGGTTTATCCTGTAATATAATCTTTTTCAGTTAAAGCTATTATAATCACTATAATGTTGGTTTATGTTTAGTATCATATTTATATCATGCATGGATGTACATAAAAGCTGCATCATTGTTAAAACCATTTGTAATTTTTTCTTTCATATATATTACTGATTCCTCTATATACTCCAAATGCCTTGTTGTACATGATATGACACAATCGGTGGGTGTAAAATTCCGAATTTGACACAATTGTTAAGCATTTCTCCAATTAGTATTCAACTAAGCAAAAAGATCTACACCTTCATATTAATCAGATTGGTAAAAATTTTACATATAAAATGTCATCTTTATGATGATGATCTGTATGATCTTGTGTAATGATAAGATATTGTCATAGTCTATTCTACACAAAAAGACATTTATTTTATTTATTTTATATGCCCTTTATTTGATTATACAAATTCCATTGTAACACTTATATAATAAGTGCAGCAGCTTAGCAATAAAAATTGTGCACTTTTTGAGAAAAGCTTAGTTAGCTTTCAACGTAAGATTCATTTTCAAATTTTAGAGGCCCGTAAGAGGTCAAATCCAAAATGGCCATCTATCAACATCCAATTAGTCCAGAAAAATGCTTAAGGTGTCATTTCAAACTAAATTGCGGATGCCAATTCAATTGGTTAATACTTTTGAGATGGTCAGAACTCAAGGTTTTGCAATTAGATTAATGTCAATGTCAAATTAGGACTAAAAAGTGATTTTATCAACAACAAAAACAACTTTGCCTGTATTTTGACACTTTATTTTTAAACAAAATCATAAACAAAACCTATGTACCACTTTGACTATCATAGAGCTGCTTAACAGTAGATTCTGTGCTTTTGTACGAGTTTCTACATCATAACCCTGTTAACAATAAGCACGTGAAAATAAAAATTGTAAAAATGTGAATACATTTGGTGCCTTACGAGCACACTACTTCTACCAAACTAAAGCCCTGTCAACCAATCCCGTACTTCTACTGGAGCCATGGATCTTGATATAATTAATTGTGAGATATGGTGGTTATGTGTATCATGATGACTGAAGCTAAGAGGGACGATGGCACAGATTCCTGCTGGAAGTTTGCCTGAAACAACCCTTTGAAGGAGAATCTTGAGTCACAAATTCTTTGCATACTGCCTGTGTTGATCCCATTAAGTGAATGACATCACTGTCATGATGAGAGACATTCATGAGGACTGTTCCATTGTCTGCAAAACTGAAAATGAATCTTATTGCCTCTCTATGAAGTTTTTCCTCAAAAAGTGCACAATTATTATATGAGAGCTTATCCACTTTACTGAATTAGCTATGTGTCATTCATTGAGAGTGAACGTGCTTGGACTTGTGACTGACAATTTTGACAAAGACAAATGGAAGAATATTAGTACACATGTTATCATAATTTTAGTGTCTATTAGTTTATCACAATGTAAACAGAACTGATAACATGCAAACAATTTGTAACCAGACATTGTCATTAGGTGTTTTATCGTTAGTAATAAGGACTCTTGATCTTGTTACATTTCCTTCATTGACTGGGAACAATTGTCAGCTGCAATTCTATTTATTAATTGAGTTATTGATTTGTGTTGTTTTGTTCATAGATTGACAGATCAGCCCAAACTATAAAATGTGTGTGACAGACTCAATAAGATAATATATGTGACAGACTCAATGATGTAATGGTTGTGACAGATTCAATGATGTAATGATTGTGACAGACTCAATGATGTAATGATTGTGACAGACTCAATGATGTAATGGTTGTGACAGACTCAGTGATGTAATGATTGAGGCAGACTCAATGATGTAATGATTGTGACAAACTCAATGATGTAATGATTGTGACAGACTCAATGATTTAATGGTTGTGACAGACTCAATGATGGTATGATTGTGACAGACTCAATGATGTAATGATTGTGACAGACTCAATGATGTAATGATTGTGACAGACTCAATGATGTAATGATTGTGACTCAATGATATAATGATTGTGACTCAATGATGTAATGATTGTGAAAGACTCAATGATTTAATGGTTGTGACAGACTTAATGATATAATGATTGTGACTCAATGATTTAATGGTTGTGACAGACTCAATGATATAATGATTGTGACAGACTCAATGATGGTATGATTGTGACAGACTCAATGATGTAATGATTGTGACAGACTCAATGATGTAATGATTGTAACTGACTCAATGATGTAGTGATTGTGACAGACTCAATGATGTAATGATTGTGACAGACTCAATGATGTAATGATTGTGACAGACTCAATGATGTAATGATTGTGACAGACTCAATGATGTAATGATTGTAACTGACTCAATGATGTAGTGATTGTGACAGACTTAATGATGTAATGATTGTGACAGACTCAATGATGTAATGGTTGTGACAGACTTAATGATATAATGATTGTGACTCAATGATTTAATGTTTGTGACAGACTCAATGATGTGATGATTGTGACAGACTCAATGATATAATGATTGTGACTCAATGATGTAATGATTGTGACAGACTCAATGATGTGATGGTTGTGACAGACTCAATGATTTAATGTTTGTGACAGGTTCAATAATGTAATGGTTGTGACAGACTCAATGATTTAATGATTGTGACAGACTCAATGATTTAATGATTGTGACAGGTTCAATAATGTATTGGTTGTGACAGGTTCAATAATGTATTGGTTGTGACAGACTCAATGATTTAATGGTTGTGACAGACTCAATGATTTATTGGTTGTGACAGAATCAATGATTTAATGATTGTAACTGACTCAATGATGTGATGGTTGTGACAGACTCAATGATTTAATGGTTGTGACAGGCTCAATGAGATAATGTGTGTGACAGCCTCAATAATTTAATGATTGTGACAGACTCAATGATTTTATGGTTGTGACAGACTCAATGATGTGATGGTTGTGACAGACTCAATGATTTGATGGTTGTGACAGGCTCATTGATGTAATGGTTGTAACAGGATCAATGGCATAATGATTGTTGTATGCTTAATGACAAAATAGTTGTTGTAGGATCAGTGATATGATGCATTTTGATAGTGGTGACAAACTCATAATGATGTGAAATTTCAATTTCAATAGATAAAGGTTTCTCTTTGGCTCTTGATTATTTATTGTTTTTTGTGTATGTGAAGCTAATTTTGGCAGTATGTCAGAGGTTAGGCTGGCAGGAAGGTTTGATATACTTGTAGAAGATCTCTAGAATGGTGGTGATATAATAATAGTAATAATAATAATCTTTATTTGCATCATTTTACACTATTTCTGGTCAAAGGCAATACATAAAGAAACAAGTACAATCACATGATACAAATTAACAATAATCTTAGATTGTTTTATACAGTTGATAATCTTGGTTGAGAGTTTTAAAAAAAGCCTAATTTTCAACACAATTCAAAGTTCAAGTTCGAAAATTTTAGAAAAGGTTCTAACTCTATATAATGTACATGAGTATATTCAAAAGTAGCAATTAGAAATTGGGTTATACAGTTTATAACAATTTTACCCAGCAAGTTTCAAGACTATTTTGTGAACTCAATTTTCAACTCAACTTGAAATCTCATCAGTGTACTTGCCAAATATAAATATTATAATGTGGTAATTAACATATAAACTAACTATCTATGTTTTTATTAGAAAATTTGACGAAGACAGAAAACTTTATAGCAAGTTATATTTTTAATTTCTTATCTGATAAAATAGTTTCTGTTTTATTTTCTGCCACTTACTTCAATGATTTCAGATCTGAATTTCTTCTCTTAATGCCTTTCAGTTGTTCCAATAGTAAATAAATCAAGGCTCCATTATCATGATAAAGATCCATAGACATTTAAAACTTAAAATAAAATGAAATCCATTAAGGTGCACAGTTAAAAATTCATTAAAAGAATATGAATTGTATATAAACTTGAAATGTGTGGATTCTTACACCTTTCTTATACATAGAAGCACCATTTCTTTTAATTGTCTTTAAAAATAAATTTATAAAAAAAAGAAATGTTCTAAAACGTGTAGGATGGTGTATTTAAAGTTATAATGGCTATAATCTTGTTAATTTTAGATATGGAAATGTGTTTAGATCGTTAATACCTTCTGTTATGCATTATGTATATATATATATATATATATATATATATATATATATTAATTTTTACTGGTATACATGTACAACTGTTTATTATATTGTAATGGCTATACATGTCTGATAAAAACTTAATAAAGGTTGATGGAAGGCACTAAATTTTGTGATCATGTAAAAATTGCATTAAAAATTTGAAATGACTTTATGACCCTTTTTTTATACACCCATGTTAGGTGATATGGGCTACAGTTTTAATCCGATCGTGATGAAACTTTGCATGTATGTATATATTGATAAGATCTAGGTCAAGTTCTAATTTGGCGCTTTCTCAATGAACAGTTTTTTATTTATTGCCCTTGACTTAGTAAAAACGCATGATATTTGTTTGTGAACACAATAGAGGTTGGAATTTTATTAAATTTGTGTGTTGATTTCAATTATGCTTTAAGATCAATGAGTCAAGTATTATTTTAGATTGTCTGAACATGGTGGTTTTAGTATGAATTTAAATGTGTGAATTTTGTTATTGTTACTTGCCACAGGTGAAATAACTATTTATATCTTTGAATAATGTTTGTTGGTTTGTTTGTAATTATGCTTTAATTAAAAGAGAAACTTTATAACAAACACTGACAAATATAACTTTTCTTTCCCACACTCAGCTGCTGGCGTGTCAGTTTTGTTTCAAAGATGGTAACCATATTTTCATTTATTCTTATATATAAACTTATTTGATTATTGGAAGGCTAATATGTCTAGTTATCTGTTCAAAACTATATTTGAAACTTTGTGTGATAATTGGAATTGATAATGTCTTGAGTAAGGAGTTGATTACTTTTCTGAGTATCGAATAAAAACATTACAGATTAATGATAAATGGTTCGTGTTGCTCTTTATTGAGTCTAAAAATTAAACAAAGCTGCTGTTTGAATGTATGTTTACCTTACCTGGCAAGTTACCTTGTAAAATGATAATAAAATAATTAAAATCAGTTTTAAGTTTCCGTATTTCCTTTCAAATAGTTTTAGCTTATGATATGAAATATGTCTAGTCATTTCCAATATAGCTTGAAGTCTCAAAAAGAATAAAAAGTTTAATATATCCAAGCAGATTTAAGTTTATTGGAAACTCAGTGCCTTTCCATGTTTCAAAATGGATAATTGATTAACAGCACCAATTAACCAAATAAATTTCTTTTTTTGACTTGAACCACCCGATATGAAATTCATGAGACAAGCTTTGTTATATAAAAGAAACTAAAATATTCCCAGGCAAACTGTTATAGTAGAGAACACAAGACTTGAATACCAAAATGTTAGTCATAACTCATGAGCATCTGTAATATGTAACTCAACAAGTTGTAAACCAAACAAATTTCTATTTTCTAATGTTTCTACCTTTTACCATAACACATATGGTGTACAGTGTTTTATTATTTCATTTTTATTGTATCTCTTAACTGTACAAATGATATGTCTGTACAAATCGCACTGTCTCTATTACCTATGTACAAATCATGATCCCTTAACTTTATATCTTGGTTGTGAAAACTGTAATATCTATTACCTGTACATATCATGATATATCTTACCGAAAAAGATCATGATATATCCTATCTGTACACATCATGATATATCTTACCTGTAGACATCATGATATATCTTATCTGTAGACATCGTGATATATCTTACCTGTACACATCATGATATATCTTACCTGTACACATCATGATATATCTTATCTGTACACATCATGATATATCTTATCTGTAGACATCATGATATATCTTATCTGTAGACATTGTGATATATCTTACCTGTACACATCATGATATATCTTATCTGTACACATCATGATATATCTTATCTGTACACATCATGATATATCTTATCTGTAGACATCGTGATATATCTTACCTGTACACATCATGATATATCTTACCTGTACACATCGTGATATATCTTACTTGTACACATCGTAATATATCTTACCTGTACACATTGTGATATACCTTAATTGTAGACATTGTGATATATCTTACATGTAGACATCATGCTATATCTTACCTGTAGACATCGTGATATATCTTACCTGAAGACATCGTGATATATCTTACCTGTAGACATCATGATATATCCTGTCTGTACACATCATGATATATCCTACCTGTACACATCATGATATATCCTACCTGTACACATCATGATATATCTTACCTGTAGACATCGTGATATATCTTACCTGTACACATCATGATATATCATATCTGTACACATCATGATATATCTTATCTGTACACATCATGATATATCCTATCTGTAGACATTGTGAAATATCTTACCTGTACACATCATGATATATCTTACCTGTACACATCATGATATATCTTACCTGTTCACATCATGATATATCTTACCTGTACACATCATGATATATCTTACCTGTACACATCATGATATATCCTATATGTAGACATTGTGAAATATCTTACCTGTAGATATCGTGATATATCTTACCTGAAGACATCGTGATATATCTTACCTGTAGACATCATGATATATCCTGTCTGTACACATCATGATATATCCTGTCTGTACACATCATGATATATCTTACCTGTACACATCATGATATATCTTACCTGTAGACATCGTGATATATCTTACCTGTACACATCATGATATATCATATCTGTACACATCATGATATATCTTATCTGTACACATCATGATATATCCTATCTGTAGACATTGTGAAATATCTTACCTGTACACATCATGATATATCTTACCTGTACACATCATGATATATCTTACCTGTTCACATCATGATATATCTTACCTGTACACATCATGATATATCTTACCTGTACACATCATGATATATCCTATATGTAGACATTGTGAAATATCTTACCTGTAGATATCGTGATATATCTTACCTGAAGACATCGTGATATATCTTACCTGTAGACATCATGATATATCCTGTCTGTACACATCATGATATATCCTGTCTGTACACATCATGATATATCTTACCTGTACACATCATGATATATCTTACCTGTAGACATCGTGATATATCTTACCTGTACACATCATGATATATCATATCTGTACACATCATGATATATCTTATCTGTACACATCATGATATATCCTATCTGTAGACATTGTGAAATATCTTACCTGTACACATCATGATATATCTTACCTGTACACATCATGATATATCTTACCTGTTCACATCATGATATATCTTACCTGTACACATCATGATATATCTTACCTGTACACATCATGATATATCCTATATGTAGACATTGTGAAATATCTTACCTGTACACATCATGATATATCTTACCTGTACACATTATGATATATCTTACCTGTACACATCATGATATATCCTATCTGTACACATCATGATATATCTTACCTATACACATCATGATATATCCTATCTGTACACATCATGATATATCCTATCTGTAGACATTGTGAAATATCTTACCTGTACACATCATGATTTATCTTATCTGTACACATCATGATACTTCCTATCTGTAGACATTGTGATATATCTTACCTGTAGACATCATGATATATCCTATCTGTACACATCATGATATATCTTATCTGTACACATCATGATATATCCTATCTGTAGACATTGTGAAATATCTTACCTGTACACATCATGATATATCTTACCTGTACACATCATGATATATTTTACCTGTACACATCATGATATATCTTACCTGTTCACATCATGATATATCTTATCTGTACACATCATGATATATCTTACCTGTACACATCATGATATATCTTACCTGTACACATCATGATATATCCTATCTGTACACATCATGATACATCCTATCTGTACACATCATGATACTTCCTATCTGTAGACATTGTGATATATCTTACCTGTACACATCATGATATATCTTACCTTACATTTTTTCAGTTTATGGATGTATAAATAGAAAAAACCTGTGTACACTTATTTATAAACTGCTACGCGTGTTGGAGCATTAGTGCTTTTTTTTTTCGTAACATAGTTAAAAAAAAATTGATCAATTCATCATCATGGAGAGTCCACACTGCTAAAAATGTTATTTGATATGTATATTATATATAAAATCAAAGTGTTTTCAATATTATTGTGGTATTCCTGTAAAAGGACAGAATGTGTAATCTAGATTATTTCATCTATAATGACTTCCCTAATGAGTTTGTTCTTAAAATTCTCTCTGTCTACATCTTTACAGTAATTGATATTTATAGTAAGAGACTGTTCAAGATACAAGCACAATTTTTTCTAAATTTTAAATTGCATTACAAGCAATGTCTAGCTGGTACATACATTACAAAGTTAAATATAAAAGGGTGTAAAATTTAACTAAATATGTTAGGACTGGTCAATATACCAGACTTATTATCTCATTTAGTACTTCTTTCATTTAAAAATACTTTGCATAGGTCAGCATTGTTTTGTTAGATAGACATAGCTAGTATTTGATGTTCTACTACCAGTTTTAAGGATTATGTTTCTATTTTGTAAGTTGTAATTCTAGCTAAGTAACTGTATGATGCTAATAATAAGGCTAAGAAAAGACTGCCTTGAGTCTTACTGTTATCTGGTTTAATTATGATATAATAAGCAATCAGAGAGGAGCTAGACCGGTAATATTTCATTCCCTGAAGCTGACAAGATTTTATCTGATAATTACCAGAAAGAATTTCAGGAAGAAACTTGTTGGAATTATACCACATTGTGCATGACGCATGGAATTAATATACAGGACTGAAGCCTCAGGTGAGATATTTCCTTAGATAAGGTCGTAAGATCATAAGCTGGGTTAAGTTTAAATAATTAATAACGGTCAAACTCAATTGTGTATTTTAATTGTATGTTGACTTGGTTCTTACTTCTTTCAAAATAAGTAGCCTATATATAAGTTATGATAACCAATTTTTATTTTTTGATCACTAGAACTGTGAAATTTCTATCAACATATTGAATTTGTGTACTTTTACTATCTGTCACATGCAGCTATTCAGCTATATATTTGCTGCCACATGATTCTTATGAGTCTCTATTTTACATTAGTGATGTTAAAGCCAATAATCCAAAAACCAACTCTTGTAGCTATGGAAATAGATAATAAGCCTTTAAGTGGTAATCATTTAAAGTCAGGAATAAGCTGTATCACATCTATGGGGAAAACGATCATATGATTGGTTTTATCAACCAAAACAAAATTGAAAAGTTCTGCTAGACATAAACTGCTAGTCAAAGAAATAGTTTTTATGGTCTAACTGGTATTTTACCTGTAATTTCAACTATACAGTAAATTTGAGTCTATTTTTACCTTACAGAATGGTAAGTGAAGAGTGGATGATTATTTGACTGTTGGCATGATGATGGCTCAGTAGGAGTAGAATGCCAGTTAACTCGATGAAATGAAAGAAGATATAAATGTAAAAGGATAATCTTGATATTCTTGATATTTGCCAGGAAAACTCGTACATGTTTTTACATTGGGATCAATATCAGTACATTATTTTCCAAACTTCTAGTCACATGAAATAAGTTTGTGGACACTCTAAATCAGTTGTGATTAAAGTTTCTGATCAATTATGGTATATTAAGAGTTATATCATCAGTTTGATGTTTGTGACTGATTTATATTAGTTTAAAACTTACTTTATATGTTAATTGATGTATAAGAATCAGGATCTGAATGACTGTGTATAATCAAAGCAAAGAATTCATATGACAGAAATGAAGAGTCTATAGCTTCTGTGTCAGTGTCAGGATATTGTTTCAAGATAAAATAAATTTATGTGAACTATCCTAAAGTTGACTTGACGTGCCTTTTCACTCAGAGATTTGTGGACTCTCCAAAGTGAAGCTGAGCTATATTCAACTTTGTAACTTGGAATAGGTTGAATAAAAGGTATGTTTCTATGATCACTTTTCACAGTAAACAGAACTGGATATGGTTGTCATACTAATTAAGAAAAATTGATTTAAGATGAAATTTTACTAAAATTTACATGTGTCATTCTTTAAACCATTTATTAATTTAGGGTCTGAAAGCAATAAGAAGACTACACAAAGCAAGTTTCTAATTTTAAAATAACAAAATGGCATGATTCTTTTAATTGCAGGAAGGAATGTAATGAATTTTAGAATGCACTCAACAACATAAACAGTTATGTAAAGACCAGAGCATAATTTACTTTAAAGTTAAGTTGTCTGTTGTTGATTTAGATTATGTCAACTAAACCTGTATACCATTGGGCCTTTTTCTTCAAGATTCTGTCTGAGAGAAAGGTTTGATATATTCTCATGGTACTTGAAGAAATTCAAACAGAAATAGAATAATTAAATCATACCAAACTGGCATATGACTTGATCAAATTGATTATAAATAAACATTTACAAAAAATATATAGCTCTATAATATTAACATGAAAATACATTTAAACTTTAACCCTGTACCACTGCCTTTTTTCAATAGTGACTAGTTGCTTGTATTAGTAACTGGTATCTTTTCAACCACTCTAATATCTACAATTTAACAGTAAAGATTGTTTGTTATTATTACATATAAATATATATAATTTTGCTCTAATATGTCAGAATCACCAAATCAATTCTATTTTCCTGCAGGCAACACCCTCTCAGAACCTCCATGAAAGGGTTGCACCTATGCTTCGCATAGTAAGTCTGTCTACTCTATTTGTATGCCTAGCTCCAGGGGGCTAGTGCCACCAGTGACTGGTTTAGGAAACATATTGCATTTTGAAATTATTACCACTGGCCATATGGTTGGTGTATTGCTTTGAAACTGTTATTGGTATTAATTAAACACATTTTTAATCTTAATAAGTATAGTAAAACTAATTAAACAATAGCTATTAATAGCCTGATTTGTCTATTGTCTTATTTGTCAAGAACGCAAGAATTACTACACAAAACAAGAAAATATTTCTTCAAGCAAGTTAAAATAATAACTTATAATAATTATAACTTTATTTTGGCTACCAATTTAGGTTAAAGTCTTATTTTCAATAGGTCTCATTTAACTACACCTACTATGCATAACGATAAAAACCACAGAAGACAAAGATATAATATACATTTTATAGTGTAATGGATGAGGTAAGAAATATTTAGATGAATGCAATTGTTTATCAAAAATTTATAAGGCTAAAAGCAATTATCTGTTATATTTAACACATTTTTTTATTTACTTGTATATATTATATATATATTCCAAACAATATGTAGCTTCACAGATGTGACTGACAAACTTTGTCAACTCAATAATCTATAAAGAAATTTAACGCAAATAAGCTAATTTTAGAAAGTAAAATTTTAGAAATTAGCAAGACGAGTACTTGTGACATGATGGATTATGGAGACAAAAGGATTATAGGTTTCCAGGAAGTCTTCTAATGCTCCTGGTTTCAGAATGGAATTATGAACAAACCTAATGTTATATAAGATTATTTTTACCATGACGTAACCTAATGTGTTTTAGTGTGCTAAGCTTCAGTCATTTCTTCATCTACAATTATAGAACCTTTTGCTACATTTAGTAATCTAAGTAGAAATTATCTCGGAATATAATTCTGCATGACTGACAAAGGGAATCACGCAGGATGTAAAAGTTAGTGTTGGCACAATGTATCTGTGAATCAATGTATTTGTATTGAGGTGTTGTATCAGGAGGTCAGGTATGAATACTTGACGATACCTGTCATTCTTGAAAAAATTTGGGATTTTTATAAGAAGGCAAATTTTTCACTGACTTGACTGAAAAAATAAAAGAATATTATAAGACAGTGGACATTAACCACTCTGTCAATTACGTTACCAAATATTATAGTTATAAAGATATAAATTAAACTATATTGAAACTGTTAATTTACCTCATATGAGGTATTTGTCATATGGTGATCCATGTATTGCAAAAGGTATCATATCATGGCATGAATGGCTATAACCAGGACTAGTATTTAGCTACACAGATTAACTTTCTATCTTAAATATTGATTTAAAATATTCACAAGTTATAAACTAAATCATCTTTTCAATAAAATAAAAGACATAAAATTCTATTAATAATCATATAAATCATCTGGAAGTAGACAAAAAATCAATTGAAAGAAATGTATCTTTTAAGGTATGTTCCGTCTGGACAGCTAAGTGAATTCGGGGACTAAAACATTTTTCATGCATTATGTTCACACCTGCACTGAATTCCGATTTGTGCATCACGTGTTCTTTGTGCGTTCTTAGTTTGCGCATGCGAAGAATACATGGTTACTGACTTCTGCTGACTCTTACTGCACGGAAACAATCAATGCTTTAAAACAATGAATGATAGTAACAGTGATGAAGACATTCTTTTTATTGAAATTATCAGAAAAATGTTGAAGAAAAACAAGCGTACAAAATGGATAAGCGCCATCCCTCCAAACATCGCCTTGCATTTTCACATCTTTATAATTTTTATCTCTCAGATCAAACAATATGGGGTTCTTTCAATCTCTGTCTCTGAAAAAAAATGGGTCTGATTGCCATTTACCAGAATTTAGTGTATAGAACGAATTCGGCCCGGGGCAGTGTGAACAAATGTATATCTTTACTATTATCTTTGCTATGAATTTCATGCTAGTGTGAACTCACCTTAACGAAAAACCTAATTCTCTATACTCTATACCTACACAGAATAATATGGGCAATATTTGATACACAAGTTTGATTCATTTTGATTTTGGTTGACAGCATAGTGTCAAAGGAAACAGTAATACTATTGAAAAATTATATTCAGTTATATGTACATGTACTCTCTCTGTCAGCTACAGCTTATTGTAAAATTGTTGCAATCTCCCAAACAAGAACAGAATGACAGATTGGCGCTAAATTAACAGTTTGTTGTCAGAAATGTCATAGCTCAAGATAATTGTAAAATTTGAAAGTAGGAAGTTTAAGGTGTTCATTCTACCAAATTAATGATAATAAGCAATCAGATTTCTGTAAATTCTATTAAGGTAGCTCTATTCTAAATGTTGTGAACGGTGTGATAACAGAGCCGAGGTTGAGAAGCTTGATATATTGTGAGGAATTTAGAATTAGTCTGTCACTATTATAGGATGATAGATGACAACATGACGTTATTTTTAAAGTAAAATTGATTATAGAGTTATTCTGTCCCTGTCCTAGATCATCACACACTATAATCTATAATCTATAATTCATAATTAAATTAGAGAGGATAGAGTAGATTCTGTGTCGTATTCAACACCTACGTATATCTCACAATACAATGTCCAGATTGGATCTAGTACTGATTTGTCAACATTATAATGAAAACCAGTTCCGTTTTTGACATCCAGTGATTCAATTAATTCCATTCTCATAGTCTCCTATGACTGGATATTAGAAACTTATTAATTATTTTTCTATTGAAGATACATTAAAAGGCTGATGGACTGGTTAACGATTTATTTTTGTAGTTCTTCACACTCGCAGTGTCTAATGTAACTAATTGTATTTGATTGGTCTATTTTTAGAAAATGAAAGCCTTAGGAAGGTTGAGGGCTCTTATTGCTATCTCTGTTTATTAATTATAAGTAATTTTAGAGTTTTATTTTAGTTCCATTCTACGCATTTTCTTATGATGATGATTATTTAGCCTATTTATGATAAAGATTATACAGTTATTTGATAATATGAACATTCTCGCATGGGCAACACCATAATTGGAAAATTTTTTGATGCACTATTCTCACAAATGATCTTTTTTTTTTCAATATGTGTCAATATGGAAGAAGTACACATTCACAGTTCATATTTTGAAACCACATCCTGAAGTACCTAGATATATTTGACAGATAGAGGCTACAAGTGGATATGGTTTTTATGCCATGAGTGCTGGAGATATTTTAACAAGCAAGAGTGGCATAAAACCATATCCAACAGTTTACCATTGAATAAACTATTTATCCATCATTTTATTTCAGAAACTTGAAATTGAAATAAATAACTTTATAAGCAACAACAAATGGGCCTACAAGGAACATACAGATTAAGTATTAGTATATCAAGTACACCTTCCACCAACACTAGAAAGTCTTAGAAGAGTTTTGTATGTATGGTTATTTTCTGTTACGTTAGCTTTTAATTATTTTTTCAATATTTATAGAGGCACATGCGTTATTCGTTGTCAGTCTTTGGTCTTAACCTTTGAATACTGTCCGTTGTATACCATATTTATTCCACAGGCTATGTTCCATGATATACAAGAATATCATCTTTATCCGAAATACATGCATCACAGACATAGAAGAGAAAAAAACTCTTCTGAAACAAAAAGTAAAAGAAAAGTAACTTTATATGATTGCAAAGCTATTTTACAGATTTAACCTTAAAGACTAGCTATTTATAACTTTCCACTGCTTGTTTTTTTCCAAGTGAATGCGTTGAACAATAAATGTGTTCATTTTAGCGTAAATGTAGTGGATTACATTATCTCAATAACAATGCTGATCAAACTGATCAAGTTTATGTCATATTTCAAGTATTATAAGATATTTAGCCTCAAGATGTTACAAAATTAAGTGGAACTATCAGGATATTTAAAGGAATTCCAAGAATGAAATATATTAAAGTGTAAATTGTATGAATTCAGTATAGTGTATCATGATTTATGTCTTTCCATGCCTGATTTTATTTTTTAAAAAGATAATGTGACTGTGATCCCCATAGTTGCTAAAAAATATAACCTTGCCTGGCAAAATATTCTGATGATGATAATTTTAATTATGAACCATGTAAATCCATCGTTCAATAATTCATTAATCTTAATTTTGCTTAATTTTTCAGATGAATTAGTTGCTACCAGAAGACAACAGTTAGTCATACTATGAAAATTTCCAGATCAAAGCTTCAGGAATGCTTTTGAGTGTAGCCTAATTAATATAGGTTATATATGATAAGATTATATTAGGAATGGTAACAATCAGAATTTCACTACAATTTGATGTTACTGATGATTAGTTGATTTAGTGAAAAGTGGTTGATGTTGATAAAGTGATTAACAGTGGATGACAATAGATGACATCAGTATATCTTTTACATTTTGTGGAAATTGATCGAAAATTTATTCATGAGGATGGTGTTCCAATAGGCTCAATAGTCTTTTTGTGATTTTATAGTAATCATATGTGATTGTGATTTGTAATTCAACCAACATCAACCAAAGTATTAACATTCAAAATGGCAGGCAGAAATGAGACAAGCGCCTTTGAATCAGATGGCACAAATACAACGGTATTGACTGGCAGTCCATGGAGTTTCTCTTTCTCCACAACAATGGCTGTCATTTTGTCTATTTCATCAGTATTAACAGTTGTTGGTAACTTAATGGTGATTACCGTAGTGATACGTTATCCTGTGATGCGAACACGAACTAATTTGTTTCTTACAAATTTGGCTGTGGCAGACTTGATGGTGGGACTTCTGCTTGTTCCTTGCTCAATTACAACTCTGGTGGCAGGAAAGTGGGTGCTTGGTAACACTGTTTGTTCTATCAATGGATTTTTAACCTGTTTCTGTCTAGTCACATCAATCCACACCTTAATGTACATCAGTGTTCACAAATGTTATTCTTTACCTAGGGCTCAATCAGACTCGTTTAAATTATCTCAAATATTATTGATGATTGCGGCAACATGGATCTGGGCAGGATTTTTATCAACAATAACTGTAACCGGACTAAATCATGTATATTATAAAAAATATACATCACAATGTGGGCCAAGCTATCCTCATGATTTAAAAACTTATATACATCATACATTTGTACAAGTTACAGGAATTATTATACCTCTTGTAACCATGGTGATATGTTATTTTCGCATGTTTCGCACAATTTGGTATCATTCGCAATCTTTGAAAATCCACACAACATTGGATAATAATCTGATTGTGGCTCAACAGAAAAAAATATTTAAAACGTTAATTATGGTGCTAGCATGTTTTATATTATGTTGGATACCATATCAACTCTATGCTTCTTATACCACCATTGTCAAAGATAAGGAACATTTTAGTCCTTACATTAACCCTGTGGTAAGTTATTTACAGAGTCACTTGTGGCAAATAGAGCATTTGATTGGTTGAATATTTTACAAATTGTGGAATATATAATTTTCCAAGTTCTTAGCCAGCGAGTGCAATCATCTTCAGAAAAATAAAAACCAAAATATCTAGATCTACAATTTATTCATATTATGTGACTTTGTGTTTGGATGTCTTAAACAGGAAAATCAATTATGTTGCTTTCAAAGGTTAAAGTCATCTTTTATTGTCCACCCTAAGTCAGTTCTCTTGCAATTGTTTTACCAATAATACCTATAACTATAAAACTATAGTTTGACTAAGTTGAACCTACAAAGGTTGTTGGGGGATGATTTTAGTCACCTTTGTCCGCAATCGGTGTGTGTGTTTATGATCACCCAAGAATAAACCCTATTAAAAAAAAAATTGGAGAAAAATATTTGATTAACTATTGCCTTTGTTTTTGAAAACAAGTTTAAGATTTGTAAACACTCTAGTAGGCAAAACTCATGACTGATTTGACAAAACTTGGTGTGAGTGTTCGTAATCACCAGATATTGAACCCTATTGAAAATCAAAAAATATTTAATGAGTAATCGCCGTTGTACTTAAAAACACGTTAAAGTTTTATCTTGTAAACACTCTAGTAGGCAAAATTGTTGACTGATTTGGTGTGAATGTTTATTATCACCCTGGGATGAACCCTTTTGAAAATATTTTACATGAGTTATCGAAAATGAGTTCAATTTTTAGTTGGTAAACATTCTAGAAGATACAATTCTAGCCAGATTTTTACATAACAAGAAGGTTGAATATTTCATACTGTTAATTGTTACTGTAATGCCAAACTTTTTTATTTAAAATCAAAGCTGCCAGTGGACGTATATTACCTTGCCTGACATGTTATCTGTTACATAATTGTAAAATAAGGTCACATATTGGAGTAGACAGTATTGTAATAAGATTTATAACTGCTTTCTGTGTTGGTAATTTTTCAGGCATATTTGTTTGGATATATTAACAGTGCTTTCAACCCTATAATATATGCTTTACGTAGTAAGTCATTTAGACATGGTTATAAAGAAATATGGTGTCAGACCACTGGCTATATCATGAATGAAGGTGAGTTACACTTATATATTTCTTTGTACAAAAAACTTGATGTTATTAAGCTAAAGATGGAGTTATTTTACAAATGTAGTTTAATCTTCCAGTTTTAAAATGGTTTTGGGTTTTACTCTTCAAAACGTTGTTACTTCCATCAACTTTGACGTTTTAGTTTCTTTTCAGTTATATGCTTACTTTTCGTATTTAGTGATCCTATTTTCCATTTTTTAGTGTGGGAATTTAGTAAGATTTTTAGTTGATAATGAATTTAAAAGAAAGTTCCATTTGATCATCTTGACCTATATCACTTTGATCTTCATTTTCTTCACCTTGACCGACCTACATATTTTACCTTGACCTACATTATATTTTTTTGACCTACATATTTTAACCTTGACATATATTTACAATGACATTGACACATATATGTCTAACTTTGACCTAATTTTATATCTTGAAAATTGTAAAAAAAATATATTTCTTAATTTTGTAATGGATTGCATTAAACTTTATTATAACAGGCTTGAATGTAGCGGGGCGTCCACGAGGATTGAGTAACGCTATGTTAGTACCGGTAATGTTTGTTGCCTGAACCCCATAAACCCTGTTTTGA